CTATGGACACAGGTGAAAGTATAGTAGTAAAGAAAGGTGAGGACTTGGGAATGTATACGAAGGCACTCTAATATATTCTTATTGGTAAAGAAGCTGAGCCTGCAAAAGAAATAGAGGAAAGTTCAGAGAAACAAATGAACGCTGTTCTGTGAAAGCCAAGGATTGAGACACTTTGAAGTGGGGAGTGGTTACCAACACTTCCGAATTGTTATGAAATGAGTAAAAATGTCTTGGGCTTGGTGATATGGAGAAGTTATTGGTGACTTGGCCATCTTGGTGGATTGGTGAGGGAAGAAGCTGAACAGGAGTGAGTTGAGTGAACAGGAGCTGAGAAGATGGAGTCAGTGAGAAGAGACAACTTCTGTGGAAAGTTTGTCCTGTGAATGATGGGAGACAGATATGGTGGCAGCCAGAGGAGATGTAGGCTGAGTAGTATTCAGTGAATGTGGCATGGAAAAGGTAGTCAATATTTTGATAGGCAAAGTGATGTTGGAAAGATATTTCAAGTGAATAGTGGGCAGCATGAATGAGCAGATTTTGGGAACATAATGAAGACACTGTCCTGACTGCAATAGTATAGGCTTTAGGAATAATGGGAAACATGTTGGTATAGGTAGGGAAGGCAAGGCTGAATTTCAGAGGGCTTTGTTAGCCTCATAAAGGATTTGAGATTCGATTGTATAAATAGTTGGGATTGTTGATCTGGGTGAAGAATGGTAGGATAGAGGAAGGGTTTCAGGGAGACAGTTTAGTGTTCGCTTAAACACCAGACTGAACAGTGGGATGAGTTAAGGCAGGGATACCATGTAGCTGTATGGTCTGCCACAGTTATCTAGTCATGAAGTGGACAGCTTATGGATTAGAGATGGCAAACCGGCTTGGCTAAGGGGAGAAAGAAAACAATTTTTGATGGTCATATTAAAAATATTTATAGTTGTTGCTATAAATAAAAGAAAACATCATTTATTTATAGAGGAATTTATGCTTTATGAAGCACTTTTGCAGAAATTAGCTTATTTTGACGTCTATTCTAACTGCTCCAGGTACCACAGAAATGTGTTGTTACCATCCTCATAACTAAGGTTAAGCTCAAGTATCATTGTTTTCCTAAAACTTTTGATTCTCTGATCAGACAGAATTATCCATTCTCTTCTCTGTGTGTTTAAAAATTTTTTTATGCAGCAAAATGCACAGATATTAAGTGTACAATTCAATGAATTTTGACAATTGTATACACCTATGTAACATATACCTCTATCAAGATAGAAAACAATTACATTTGCCAGAAAGCTCTTTTTATCTCTCTCTGTCATTTCCTCCACTATTCCCTTCAGAAATCATTGTTCTGATTCCCATCATCATATAATATTAGTTTCTCCTGTATTTAAACTCAATAGTAATGAAATCAAACAGTATACCTACTTTAGTGGCTGGTTTCTTTTGTAATGTTTTTGAGGTCATATTGTTGCATGTGTCAGAAGTTTCTTCTGTTTTACAGCTGAGTATTATTCCTTGTGTAAATATGGCACAATTTCTAATCCTTTCTCTTCTTAATAGACATTTGCTGTGTTTCCAATTTTTGGCTGCTATGAATAAATCTGACGTGAACATTTTCCTACAAGTCTTTTTGTAAATATATGTTTTCATTTTGCTTGTATAAATACCTAGAAGTAAAATTTCTGGGTCATAGACACATAGTTAATTTTACAAGAAACTGTTTTCTAAAATGACCATACCATTTTAAATTTTTGCTAGCATTTTATAAAGAGCACCAATTGTTCTTGATTCTCATCAACAATGTATTGCTAGTCTTTAAAACTATTCTAGTAATTGAGCAGCAGTATATCCTTGTGCTTTCATTTCGTATTTCCTGATGCCTGATGATTGTAAGCGTCTTATTCTTGTGCTCACTGGCTGTTTATTTTTTTTGTGTGTGAAATGTCTTTTTAAGTTACTTTCCCATTTTGATACTTGGGTTGTTTGATCTTTTATAGGAATATTTTGTATATTCTGGATTAGAGTTCTTTCTCAGATATCTGTATCATAAATCTTTCCTCCCAGGGTATAGGTTTCCTTTTCATTTTACTGAGAATGTCCTTGAATGAGTAGTTGACTGTAATTTTGATGATGCCTAATTTATTAACACTTTCTTTTATGGTAATTGCTCTATGAGACTTACATAAAAAATTGTTGTCTTCCTCATTATTGCAAAGATTTCCTTCTATGTTTTCTTCTAGAACTTTGATAGTTTTCCTTTCTGCATTTAGATCTATGACCCACTTCAAATTATTTTTGTGTATGAGTTAGGGGTCATGTTTCAATTTTTGCTCATAAGGATATCCAGTTGTTTCAATAAAATTCATTTAAAAAGACTTCACCTATTCAGTTGCCTTGTCATCTTTGCAGAAAATCACTTGATGTTGTATGTGAGAGTCTCATTTTGTTTCATTGGTTTATTTGTCTGCCCTTACTCCATTTTCACACTCTCTTAATTATATAGTTGTATGTTTCTCTAACTTTGTTCTACTTTTTCAGATTTTGTTTTGAACTACTGTAGTTAATTGGCATTTTCACAAACTTTTATAACTTTTCAATTTCCTCAAAAAAGTCTGTTGTCATTTTCACTGGGATTGTATTGAGTCTGTAGATCAATTTGCAGAAAATAGAATACTTTTTGATGATGTGGAACAAAAGAGCAAGAAGCATATTCCTGCTGTAGCTTGTTTATGTTTATCTCTCTTGGGGTTTACTGAGTTTCTAGTTTTCATTCTATTTGGAAAACTTTAGCTACCATAGTATCCAATAACATGCTGCCCTCTCTCTCTCTCTCTCTCTCTCTCTCTTTTTTTAAAGACTCAACTACATATATTTTAGACTGCTTGATATTGTCCCATAGAACATCTCTTACATCTTTTTCTCTTTTACTTCAGTTTGCAATAGCTTGCATCGATGGGTTTTCAAATTGTTCTTTCTTTTTTAGTGTTCAACCTGCTGTTAAACCAATCCAATACATTTTTAATTTCAGAGATTTTATTATTTCTTGGTTTACCTACTGACTTCTCTTTTTATTGCCTACTTTTCCATAGTAGTTGTCAGAGTTTCCCATTTCTTGCCTGTCTAATAATTTTTTATTGTTTCTGGGACATTATATCAATACATTGTAGAGATTTGGGATTCCATTACCTCTGAAGAGAGTTGCATTTTTTTAAACCAGGCAGTTAAACTACTAATGGATCACCTTGATCATGAAGAGACTTGATTTTAAGATTATTTTTTCATGTTGTTCTACTTTCTACATTTTTGCCTTCAGTCCCAGGGCACATCCCTTCATCCTGTGACTTGTTTCTTACTCCTAATGCGAAGCCTCCTGTGATTTAGATGGAAAGTTTAAGGTGTTTTTCAAGCTTCTCTAGCTTGATGGGACTTGAACTCTGAAATTCATCTTCTAGCTTTGGGGATCTAATAAAATTTCTGTCCATCTCTTTAGCCCTTTAACCGTTGCTTTCTGCTGGATTCCTTACTGCCTCACCCTATGCATGCCCAGTTTGGGCCACACAGAAGGATTTGAGGTAGATTATGTCAGGTTTATCACTCCATCAATTAAAGTATTTCCACAACTACAAGTTGCTCTGGCAGCCCCATATTGTGACATTTGACTCCTTAGACTTGTAAGACACTCCGGCTCGAGCTCTTTCACACCATGAACTTTCCGAACTGGCAAGTGTTCTCAGGGGAATAGACAGTTAAATGACCATCTCAGCTATTATAGCCTCTCTTTTTCAAGAGTTTATCTTTTCCAGTTTCTGCCTACTTTTGGTAGCTTCCTAGGGGCTTCAAACATTTTGTTTTCCTTCGTATTTTATCCCATGCTTCTTTATTTAGTATGTATCCTGGCAGTTGTTATTTTTTTATGACATATTTGTTTTCAACATGCACACTTATTGAGAGCAAAGGGTATGTTTTACTAATCTTTATTTTACCCCACTGTTTGACCCAGAGCAATGCCTTTTAAACAGCAGCTACTTAGTAAATGCCGAATTGCATTATTATTTTTATGAAGACCAATTATGAGTCAGGATTTAAAGTCTTCTGCTAAAAAATTGTTATATTTTTAGTGTACTACCCTGAATATCAGTTCAAGCAAAATTTTCTTAGGTAAAATTTTGAAGTATGGTGTTCTTTAAAAATTTTTTACTTTTGAATTATTTATATTAAAAATAAATGTTTATATATTTTAATATTCATTTTAATGTTGACATATAACATGTCTACAAAACCGCTAAAGTTACTGCCTAATATGATTGGATTTTCAATCATTTTATATTAATTTATACAAATAAACGTACTTTTCTGTGTGAAATAGAACAAAGACATCTCTTTTATTTAGAATACTGGTAGTTTCAAAAAAAAAAGAATACTGATAGTTTCTAAATTATCTCTATTATGTGGTTGAAAATATCTTTGAATAATTTTAATTTAAGGAAAGACTTTTAAATCCTGTTTTAAATTAGACTTTTCAAGATCAGCCTAATGGACAAAAATTTGTTCTATCATGTCGACAATGTATTAATATAATTTTTGAAGGGGGTCATCGAATTTTCCATTATTATCAATCAGTATTCTCAATCTGTAGAGAAGTGACTATAGCCCTAATCTTAATAAATTAACCAATTTTTAAGTGTAACCTATAGTCATTAACATTATTTAATACTAACTACACATTGATTTCATAACTTAGGGTATACTTGAATGCAAAAAATATTATAAACTGGTTTCTTTTAAATGGAATTTTTAGTTTGTATATAAATTTGATATTGCAGATCTCATATGATGATCATGAAAAGCTGGTTATGTCAATTTCAAGAATAGGTTATATTGTTTGTACAATTACAAACTGTAGTTGTGTTTGTTCATCTTTATGAGTTTGTCTTTTATTACTTGAAATAAGTGAATTGTTGAATGAAGCTACACAACCTCCTTTTTTCTCCTTTCTTCTTCAGAATCAAGTTTCTTACTGGGAAATGCCCAGATTGTGGATTGGCCTGTAGTTTATAGTAATGACGGTTTTTGTAAACTCTCTGGATATCATCGAGCTGACGTCATGCAGAAAAGCAGCACTTGCAGGTAGGTAATAGAATAGCTAAGTAAACGTTTATGAAATGTAACAAAAATCTGAATGTAATTAAAATGCTTAAGCTTACTTGTACTCACATATACAAACTGTAGAGTTTAAAATTATATTAGAATATTAGGGAGACTAAATGATCAATGGAAACATATAGCTGAAGAGCCATTGGTGAGAACTTTTGCCCAAAGAAAGATTTTTATATATCTGTGAATTAATTAATTCATTCAATAAATATTTTTTGATCATCTACCATTAGCCAGGAAAGTCTAGGTGCTGGGAACATCTTGTATCAGGGAACAACTTGTGGCATGTGATCTACGTCACCTTTGGAGCAACTAAATTGTCCTGAACAAAACAGAGTAAACACCACCTGGCCAAGTTGAGCATGGTCCATGAGAATGTAAAGAACATAAAATAAAGCTCTTACGTTCTGTGTAAGCCACATGTACTTGGTAATGGTACATTGTGTGACTTACGTACAACAGAATCTGATATTTATATTATATATAATGGTTCTTTAAAAAATATGCCATTTCTGTGAGCTTAACGAGAATATTAAGAAAAGAGGGGATCAGAAAAAAGAAAAGGAAACTATATATAAGGGACCAATTTAGAACCTAAAACTTTTTCACAATATTTCAGTAAGGCCAGATGGGATGTTTTTTCCATGAGTTAATTTTTCTTTAAAGCTCTCACTTAACTAAGCACTGAAGCAAGTTATTTTAGAACTACAAGGGATCTGATTTTTTTTTTTTCTAGGCCACATCCTCTGTTATTCAGATGAGAAAACTGAGATAGAACTATGTTAAGGGATTTGCCCAGAGAAACAGTGATTTTTTTTTTCTACCCATTTATGCTGAGAAGCACTATATATATATATATATATATACATACATACATATACACACACACACACAAATATATATACACACACAAACACACACACACACATATATATATGTACGTATATTATAGTTACATACATATACAGTTGATCCTGGAACAACACTTGTTTGAACAGTGTGGGTCACTTATAGATTAATTTTTTCAACCAAATGTGGATCAGAAATATAGTATTAGAGGAATACAGATAAAAAATACAGTATTCAAGAGGATGTGAAACCCTTGTGTACAGTAGGCTGCTGACTTTTTATATATGTAGGTTCCCTAGGGCTAACTGCAGGACTTGAGTGTCCATCAATTTTGATATATGCAGGGATCCTGGACCCAATCCCGTGTATGACTCTCTCCCTCTCTATGTATATATCTGTATATATATCTGTGAATCAATAAATTCATTCAATAAATATTTTTTGATCACCTACCATCTGCCATGAGTCTAGAATAGTCTAGATGCTGAATAATCAGAGGAACATGTATATCTGTATATATACATACATACATACATACAGAGAGAGAGAGAGAAACAGAGAGAGAGAGAGAGAGAGAGAGAGATCCCTTGATATGCAGAAGGGATTGGTTGATGATTCTTTCTGTCTCCAGATATCCTTCATCATCATGAAAGGTAGATATTTTATATTATACCATTGAATTTAAACCTGACTACACATAGCAATCACTTAAATAGATTTTGCAAAAACAGATTCCCACCCCGCTTAAACCTACTGAATTAGAATCAGTAGGTGATTCTGAAGTGGGTGGGTCAAGCAGGGAGTCAGTATTTTTAACCAACAGCTTAGATGATTCTGATGCTTATCCAGGCTTGAGATATAATATGCTCAAACATTCTCTTCCTTGATCTATGCTCCGCTAGCCATCCTCATTTTTTGCCTCTATTAAAGGCATTCTCATATTCAGTCTTCACTCCTAGGTATGAAACTGGTCAATGGGAGTGATGAAAATATGTGGCCTCTGGTTGATAGGATCCCTTTGGTAGCACTGATATTGTTGGTCTGTATTAAGCATTGCTCCTCCCCTATCCCCAAGAAGGGAGTTTAAGTTAGAAAAAGCTGAGTTTTATGGTAGACCTTATCCTGTGGAACAGGTCCATAGAGAGTTCCAGGGACCACAGGTATACTCATATACCCATTTCTTATTCTTGGACTGCTGTCATCCCATCTTCATGCCAGGTTTGTCTCAGATCTCATCTTCTACCTCAAGGTATTCATGGTTCCCTAAACAAGACGAGTTTTTCCCTTCTCTGACTCCTCATAGTTTCTTGTGCGTATTTCTGTTGGCATCATCATTTGGCCTTAAACTAACTCGCCTTATCCCTTGGGTTTTTATTCTTATTTCTTTATTGCTTTTGTTGCCATTTTTGAGAAGTACTGCTCTTCATATCTGGATCTATTTTTAAGTCCTGCTCTCATCCCTTCTTGTGTCCCATGTATCTGCCCTATCCCCAGCCTATTTTCTTTGGCAAGTACAATTTTCCTACAAAGGATTCACTAAGAAAATCAGTGCTGGTGATTATATTAGCTCTTTTCTTCTCTGAGAGAGCTGCTTTTCTCCTCCTAATGCAAGTACCAGATTGTAAGTGACTTAAAAGTAGGGACTCCATCTTGCTCACTTTTGTATGCACAACAGCACACAAGACAGTGTCTTATGTCAGTATTTATTGAATTAGATTGGCTTGTTTTGCAGTAAACCCTAACCTAGGTCTCACATGCTTCTATGTAGCATACTGTTATTTCTTGTGTTTCATCCTGTGTTATGACATTTGAGGTGGGAGAGTTTTGGATTATACCCTGCTTTTTAACTGTAGAGAAAAGTGTTTGAGTCTTTCCCTAAATTGTCTTTGCTTATCAGAGACAATGTTTTCAAATGATCATGTTCTTAATGTAAACAATTATTACTTACTTGCACAAAATGCCAAATATGTTTTGTTAATCTAAAAATCGCAACCCCTTTAATGCCCTCACAGAACAAGGAAGACTAGCATCTGATATATAAGCAAACATCTGACTTCTATCAGTTTTTCTTGGAAGCGTGATTTATTTTAAAATGCTCTCCTTTTAAACTTCCTCATTCTCTTTTAAAATTAAACTATATCCATTTTATGGTTTGCTATAGCATTGTTTAGAAGACTGAAGAACTGGAAATAATCAAAATGTCCAGTAGCAGGTTTTGTTAAAAAATATGTTGGCAAAGTCCTATTCATCTACATCATATATTGTATATGCTGGAAGGACAATGACACTGGAAAAAACTAACAACATATTATCAAGTAAAAAAAAAACCCTAAAATAACACAAAGCAACAAACCCCAAACCACTCCCCAAGCAGTTTATAAAAGTGTTTGCATCATGACTCAAATTCTTTTACATATGGCCTTTTTTTCCCATTTCCTGACTAAATCTAGAAAAGCCTTTAAATATGAGACACAAAATAACAGAGAGAGAAAAGAAGAAAATTATATGCACATTTAGTTATTATAGTATGCGGAATACTGACTTGTAAGTGAATGTGGAGATAAGTATTTGACATTGAGAAAATCCTTGTAAATAATTAAAAAAATTTGGCTTATAAGTTTTTAGACAGACATAAGAGAATAAGAAGTTACAAAGCAGTGAGCTTCATTTTATATGGGAAAATACAACCTTTAACACTATATATCTCAGAAAAAAGATTCATTTTTGTGTACAATTTGTATTAGATGAATTAAAGTCTATAGGATTAAATCAGCAACTGAGTAAATGATTACATGCCATAGTTTTAAATGTTTAAAAGTGAATTGTTTTATGGTAAAATTAAAAACACATGAATTCGTGTTTTTATAATATCAAGTGGCTAATATTTCTTTCTTCTGTTTTCTTATCTTTTCCTTCTTTGTCCTTCTCAACCCCTCCTGCATTGGACCAGACACAAAGACTCAAATTAAACATACTCCTCAATTTGTCACAATATTATCATTTTGCTCTCTCTAAGCAAGGCCTCTCTTTATTTTATTTAATTTTTTTTCCCTTTTACTTCTTTTCCCTTTCATCTCATTCCCCTTCTTCCTTTTATGGTTATTCACTCTTGAGTGTGTTTATTGTACATCTTTCTAATCTGTGTTCTGTTTGTTTATTAAATATGTGTATTCTTGGCATGATATTGCTTTGCTAATGTTGGTTTTTAAGATCTATGTAATTCCCACCACACTGTAATATGTGTGTTTTTTTACTCTTTTCATTCAACATTATGGTTTTAGACTTCTTTGTATTACCGTATGATGATCTGTTCATCACGTCTGATTGTTGTCTAGTGTTCCAGTGTCTTCACAGCCTTCATTCTATTAGTCCTGGATCTAACTTTGACACTTTGCTACCTCGAACAACTTGGAAATAAGCATCTTCCTACACATCTTCTTGTGGTCATTTTTGAGAAGTTTTCTGTCTGTATCTCCGGAAATGGGATTGCTGGAGAATAGAATATATGCAGAATTTGTAAATTAACTGCTGTAAGATTGTTGCCCATAGAAGACTTCTCTTTCCACTCTCAGCAGCTGTTAGTGAGGGCTCTGGCTTTCCTTCATCCTTGCTATGTCATAATGGTACTGAAATTCCTATTTAAAAATATCTGATGTGTGCTGGGTATTGCCTCATTTTTGTTTTAGCTAAAATTATGACACTATGACACTTTCAGTATCCCAGGAATTTCAAACCTTGTCCATTTTACTGTCTGATTATTGTGTTTTTCACGCATTTGGACTATTTTGTTGTTTATTGAAGGAAATGAAAAGTATTGCATGTTTAAAAGAGATTATAGATTTTGGGAGGATGACATTTAAAAGCATATGATCTTATCTCATGACCTATAGCAGCTCTGACATTTGGGATATACAGGAATAATCTGTCATAGATTAGGTAGGAACCACTTTAGCATTTTACTTCTAATTAACCTGAAACTTGTAAGAGCCTATTCTGCTGTTTTGTTTGTTTTGTTTTGTTTTGTTTTGAAGAGAGGGGTGAGAAAAACAATCAGGTAGTTTAGGTAGGGAGGATTGAGGGGGAGATAGAGATAGATGCTCTCAAATACATGTTTTTGAAGGCCGTTTATAATCCTTTATCCAACTCCATCAAGTTAGGCAATGAGTCATAGACATTAAGAAACACTTTACTGGGTGGATTTCACAGCAGTTTTATGAACACAGGATTATCTCAGCAGCTACCAAGAGCACGTGACACATGATGAAAACCAGTCAATCTGGCTCCATTTGGCTAAGGGCTGTGCTTCTCAGGGTGAAACTGATGAAAAGTGTTGAAGGACAGAGGTGCCTTGGTGATGTCAGACTCCAAAGGTTAGAGATATACAGTCCTGTTTTTTCTTAATTACATCTTATAAACCTACCATTTATTACTCCATTGAAGTCCTTTGAAGACCATATAAATCAATGGTTGTCAAACCTTTTGGTTATGATCCTCTGTATAAAGGAATGTCTTTGTTTTATTCCAAAATTACTTCTTTCAGATTTTGAAAACTATATTCTTTTCTTCTTTTTTGTTTGAGACAGAGTTTTGCTCTTTTTGCCCAGGCTGGAGTGCAATGGTGTGATCTCAGCTCAATGCGACCTTCGCCTCCCAGGGTTCAAATGATTCTCTTGCCTCAGCCTCCCAAGTAGCTGGGATTACAGGCATGTGCCACCATGCCCGGCTGATTTTGTATTTTTAGTAGAGATGAGGTTTCACCATGTTGGCCAGGCTGGTCTCGAACTCCTGACCTCAGGTGGCTTGCCTGCCTTGGCCTCCCAAAGTACTAGGATTACAGGTATGAGCCACCACGCCCAGCCCCAGTCTTATTTGTTTCTAATGTTTCCTCCTTAACTTCCCCTCTCTTGGGCTTTCTCTTTTTTGATCCTTTGACTACAGATCTCAGTCCACCTCTTACTAACTTTTATGATTCTGTGCTTGTGGCCAGTTCTGAGCTGGAGACCACATTTACCCAATGTGTTACGTCAATCTGGGTTGCATTTATCCTAGCTGCTTGTTATATTATAAATACTTTCTTATTTTGTTTTTCTGTTAACCAATTGTGAATATTATGTCTCAGTTTATGGAACCATCGAAACCTGCCATTTAGTAGCAGTGGTAAAATGTCCTCCCTCCCTTCCTCCTTCCTCCTCCTCCTCCTTTCCTCCTCCTCCTTTCCTCCTCCTCCTTCTTCCCTTCCCCTTCCCCTTCCCTTCCCTTTCTTCCTTTCTTTCTTTTTATTTTTCTTTCTTTCTCTTCTTTCTCGCTCTCTTTTCTTTTTCTTAGTTTAATTGTACTTATCTTGATTTTTAAAATCTTTGTCTTACTAATGATTCTTTAATTAAAAAGTAAAAAACTGACTAATTAAAAAGTTCACTGGTCTATAAAAATATTACATACAATATTAAGCTATTTTTTTTTGGGAGAAGAGTAGCTTTATGTTCTTTAGCTGAATAACTCTAATTTGATTGTAATGCCTTCAAGGGATTTTTATAAAACTTACGTGAGCTGAAATTTCAGCTTTGACAGGAACGGTAGCTTTTCAATGCCAGCTTGCAGGTATGCTTTGAGGCTTCCTGTTTTAGTCTAGATATAAGATTATGGAATTAGAGTCTGTCATTTTATTCTGATATATTTTACTTATTATTATAATGACAATTAAATTTTTTCTTTATAAATTAAACATATTAAAAATGAAGGATTCAGATTTCTTAATGCTTGGGCGATCTTTGATCTGCCTTATCTACTTTCATTTCTTAGTTTCTAGAGTTCTAGTTGCTTAGGCTGGGTTACAGAGGTGGGCTTGAGTTACCCTGTAATTTCCAGTTGTAGTGTGGTGCTGCTATTGAATCCTGTGCATCATTCCTGGATTTTGCTGACAAACTAGGCCTTTTAGGTTGTAAATTGTATTGATTGATATCTTCAGGTGTAGATTTTCTGTGAAGATAATGAATCTGAACCTTCAGGGGCCCTCATTTGAGTGGATGCCTTTTGAGGGTCTGTTCCTAATCTTGTTTTGTAATTTTGTATTCTTTTTCTTAAGGAGGGCTCCACAGATTTTATAAGCTTCAGACTCCACCACACTTTAGATCTGCCTCTGGTCAATATATAAACTCTTTGAAAACTGAAAGAAAAGCAATAACAAATATGTACATTTGACTTTTCAAAATCTTAGTTAAGGTATATAGTAATGACACATTTTCTTTCCTGGTGAATGGTCTGGACAATCATACTAATCAGTAGAACTGTGCATCTAAAACCAGATGCACAACTGATGCTTTTGAAAGCATTGAGAATGGAGTTTTAGAGACAGATCTTTCTTGAGTCAGCTCTGTTATGTAGATGATCAGACTTTTGCCAGGGTTCTCTTAGAAAAATAGAGAACGTCAAACATTAGAAAGGTTTTGTGAAATGTAGACATTCACTCCTTAATCTGTGTTTCATATGTTCCTCTATCCACTGTAATAATGTACAATTCCTTCAAGATGTCAGCTTTACTTCCTTCCCGTTAGCTACACTTGTACCTATCTCAAGAAAATCCTCTGAAATGATGAGAATGTCAATGCATTGTATGTATAATATGCAATCTTCACTTTTTTTCATAGTATGGGAACATAACAAGGTCCATGCAAGCTGAAACCACATAATATGATCTTAATACTCAGTAAAAAGACTATGATTGTTTTAGCATCTTTAAAAAATGTTTGTCAAAACCTTCAAAACTCTCTTCCTGTTGGTTATACTGATCAACAGGGACATGAATATAATAGTAACTTATATGAATATAGATGAATATACTGTTGGTTATATTGATAACCAACAGGGAGATGAATATAATCGTAAAACTCATATTTATTTAGTACACTGTGATTTTGAACATTGGAAACATTGAGAATGGAGGAAGTGTTTTATTTCTTTTTTAAAAAACTTACCATGAGTCATTTAAACAATACTTGCCTTCTCAGAATATAATTTTCTGTATAAAGAGAGCATCTTTTGGATCTCTTGGAAAATTGTCACCCTCCTTTCCAAGTTAGAATTAATTTCATCTTATTTTAATAATTTTACTAAATATTACATATTTTGTTCTTCCACTTTCACTATTGTGAACAATGTACTAAAACTCCTTTAATGAGGGGGTTTTTTTTGGTTTGTTTTTAAACTGGTGTCACTTTCTCTGGGAAACCTTCATGCTTTTTGTCACAACCATTTTCCTCATTTATATTGATAAGTTCACCTTCACTAAGTCCTTTTGGCTGCCTATCTAGAGTCTCCCAAATGGCAGCAGTCTCTACATTTCCAAGGTCACTTATTTCTCTTATAACTTCGTTTATGTTCAGTTTGAATTCCACTTCCGACATTATTAGTTTTCATTTCTTAGGTGGATTTTAATTTTTTTTGGATAATTACTGCTTTTGATTATCCATTTTTGTAAAATGTCACGTGGGTTTATCACTTAGAGACAAGGAGGCAATATGATTACATGCTTTTCTGTCTGTGCGTGAACTGAATAACAGCTGTGCTGTTACCAATACTGACAGGCTTTGAAAGAAGCGATGTGATCAGTTACTGGTTGTGAACGTGCATCTGTTATTTTCTAGTGATCTGTAGACTGAAGATCAAGCAGCAAAGCTTGCACTTTGTGCAATTACTCAGAGTTAAATACTTTGGTAACTGCAATTCGAACTATGTTGTGGAACTGGTGTTATTCAGCTAAACCACTGTAACTGAAATCTGTGCATACAGGAACTGCATAAAGCAAGAACTGCCTCTCATGATTTGACTATTTTAGTTCATTATATAGGAGCAACATTATATTTTGTAACCACATTTGACTATTTAATCAAAGACAACTATGTAATTTTTGTAGCATTTGAAAGGCAACATGAAAGTGAAATGGATTGTTTCTTTTTGTCCCCCAGTTTTATGTATGGGGAATTGACTGACAAGAAGACCATTGAGAAAGTCAGGCAGACTTTTGACAACTACGAGTCAAACTGCTTTGAAGTTCTTCTGTACAAGAAAAATAGTAGGTATCTCAATTATTAATAAGATATGCCAATTCTTTATTAATATTATGTTTGGTAAGTCGTAGTGGAGCTAAAATGTAGAGAGCATGTAAAACTTCGATTGCTCCTTTTCTTGGCAGGGGCAGAGGTTACTGGTGAAATTAGATAATAAAATTAATAAATAATTCTATCTATGAAAAGCAACTTTTTGAGGAATGGAAGAAAAATGTGATGCATCTTAAATATGACTTTGTTTGTATCAGGTAGCAAAATATTTTATAACAGATACTTATAATAAAGACCCTATAATTATGTGACAACACTTAAAAAAGACAGATAAATTTATTAATTTCTTCTTATGGTTAAAGAAAACGGTAATTGCTAACATTGGATATGTGCAATTACCTTTCTACACAAACATAGGCAATGTGAATATGTAGTAGCTACTTAAGGGGAATCTCTACCAGTATGGCCTTTTGCCAGCTTCAGACTCTTGTGAAAAGGTCTAGTAGAAGTAGCCATTGTTCTCAGAACAGGTCATTCACATTTGGTAGATTGTATTGATTGTAGTGAACTTTTTCTTGGATGAGATTTGTATGTGGTAAGGTATGCATTATATAATGACATAATATCTCATCATACTGACTTTCCATCAGAGTTTGGAAGGAAAAAGCCAACCCAACAAAAACCAAGTGTAGTCAGCAATTCAGTCCCCTTTCTAATTCACTTTATTTGCATGGTTACTTAACTTTTATTTTTTTTGCTGTTTCCTCAAATTGTTCTTTTTTTAATTTTTGAAACGAACAGTCAGTTCATAAATGGGTCAATTATTTATCGTTAATAGCACGTGATAGCAAAGTCCATTATTATCTTTGATGGACAGTGGTGGCTACTAAATTCTTCCCAAGTTTGGAAAACATTCTAGCTTTAACAGGAAATGTTGGTTCCATGTTCAGTGCCTGTTGGATCTTATAGAGCATAATTTATCTCTCCATTTACTTCAGACATTTTTTTCTCTGTGGAATATTTGGAATTAAAATTCGATTTCTCTTTTTAACCTTCCTCCTCTAACAAAGGAATAACAGTGTTAGGCATTGCCTCAAAGTAGTGCACTTGACAATGGAAACATTTTTTTTAGTGGTTTTACTTAAGGAATGTCTTATTTTTCATTTTACATCAAGGCCAAAGAGATATTTCAGTTTGAAGTCATAGCTAAATGTCCACTGGCTTGTCACCTAGAAAACAATCCCTTGTGAATGATCAACTCTGTCCTCTGCAAGAGAAAAAGCAGGCTGTATGTGCTTCTGGGTCTTTTTCATCAGGTCTAAATACATATTGATAATATGTAGGGGACCTGTATACCAAAAACCCTTCATTTTCATATAGTTTGTTAACCCCTCAATAATTTAGATATGTACTCAAGTTTAGCAAATGATGTAAGCATATTCCATATTACTAAGATCATTCACTCTCTGATATTTAAGCAGAATAAACAAACACTGGCCTGACTTTACAGCCTCAAAGACAAGTCTATAGTTCCTGAGTTTCTCAAAAACTGTCTTAGACTAGGTGACATAGCAAGACCCTTCTTCTACCCCCCTCCCAAAAAAAAAATAGCTGGGTGTGGTGGCACATGCCCATAGTCCCAACTACTCAGGAGGCTGAGGCAGGTGGATTGCTTGAAGCCAGGGGTTCGAGGCTGCAGTGAGCTATGATCATGCCACTGTATTCCAGCCTGGGTTACAGAGCAAGACCCTGTAGTGACAACCACCACAACAAAATATCTTAGTGGAATTTCTGTTTATTTACTTTAAATCATGTTTGTAATTACCTAAATTTTATATTTCTCGAAGTCCTTCCAAGATAGTTTAGATATTTGGCCTTATGTTAATGGACTGAAATTATTATCTGACCATTGTTCAGGGCTATCTGGTTCTTTCCAGATAACTCTCTGTGTAGGTAAGTGCCTGCTTATAGCCAATAGGATATATACCACACAGCATTGTAGATTAAAACTCATGTCTCCTTTCTGTGTACTATCTACATTGGGTTTTGTTTTTGTTTTCCTCTTTAGTAAAGGATAGGTGTTACCCATGTATTGTAATGGAGTTCTGCTATTTAAATGCGGCTTTTAAAAAGTCTTATAAATAGCTGAAAGTTTTTGAACATGATCTGAAAAAATTATATTTTTGTGGTTAAAAAAATGTTAGGTAGAAAAATTCACATCTGTAGACATGAGTATCTGTCAAGTATTTGGTAATAGATACTTCTATCTAGTCCCAAGACTGCTTTGGGGAATGCGTACATGCCAAGTCCTCCCAATACTTTTGTTTGGTGATTAGGTTAAATACCATTTTGCAAATGGGGGAATTGAAGCATCTGATTGAATATACATCACCATTGAAATTTCAGTTTGCAGCCTCTGCTCTGTAGGTCCAGTGCTCTGATTAGCAGGGGGCTGTTTCTACGGTGGGAAAAGAAAGGGTAGCTCTGGGATGATGACTTAAAATAGTTCTTTCTGTGTACTCAAAGGTAGAACTGACAGCTGAAGCATCTCCAGATCATCAATCCTGGAGCATTGCACCGAGTTTCAGCAGCAGCAGGTTCCTCTGCTGAACACTTCCAGACTCCCAAGCCCCCTGAACCCCAAATCCAGAATATGAAGGATCTATCACCAGATGCTTGGCAATACTCAGCCTACTTGGGGAAGTCTGACCCTGTGGCTTGGAAAGTTGAAGAACAGTTACCTTCATATTTAAAGAAGTTTTACAGAGAGCTCAGACTCTATGCCAGAATTTGAAAAGTTGCAGTTTTCAGAGGAAGGCATGAAATTTAGCATCATCTGTTTCTGTTCATATTTCTAACAGACCTTGGAAAATGACTTATTTTTTAATGCCCTTTTCTCTTTGTTTATGACCCTTCTGCCTCAAGCTCACTGTGTTGAAACAGCCATAGGTCACGTATCCACTAACATTTGGGTCTGGTGATTTGTAAAACTGTGCATATCACTCACAGTTCCTGGACATGCTGTGTAAAATAAGAAAACAGAAAAAAATGGACAAGCCTCTCTGGGAGATGATGTGATTATTTTTGAGGTCCCTATCTCATTCTACCATCATTTTGGAAATGGCCAGTTCTTCCATAGGCCCCCTGGGATTGCAAAAAACCTGATTGTCACAACTGAATATTCCCATAGAATTCTCCTCTCTCTAATTCTCTGACTACTTGAGCCTAGTAGTTATCTCATCTTGTCTAAATGAAAAATTCCCCTTTGTGGTGACATTAGGTGACTTTTTTTTTTTAATTTTTTTTAGGCCGTGGGAATAGAAGTGGTTGTTTTTCCGTTCTCATTGGAAGCCACTAAAAGGCTATCAGCTCTTACCTAAGACTATTAATAGCTGTACATTTCGCTCCCCAAATTCTAAACTTTACAAAAATCTTTATGTCTTAAAATAGAATATTTGGAGGGGCTTTACTGCACTGTAGCTTGAAGAAAATATGAGAAATGTGTTTCTGATTATAATGTAGCTGTGTCTCTTTGATTGTAATGGAACCTTCCCTCAGTGTTTATCACTAATAGATAATTACACCTTTGAGGGCATTTTTTGTATTTTCACATATTTCCTATTTCTTATGTACCAGTTCCTGACTTGTTCAAATTATAAGCCTTGAATGCTTTGAAACCCTCTGTCCTAGAGGACAGAGTCTACAGTAGCCACCCTTTAAAGAACGTGGTGATAGAGTCCAGCTTCATGCTCTTGGAGTGAGGGAGATAGGAAGCAGTGGCTTGAAAAGATGCCTGGGGATCTCAAAGGCTGGGGACATGCCTTTTTTTCCTTCAGCTTGCCTTAACGATTTCAGGAAGAGCTCTGTGTACCTCAGGCATCAAGTTTTGCTGACATCCTTTTTCTCTGGTGTGGGGATGCAGTCAAAACTGTAGAGCTATCATATAAGTCTATCTGACTGATGAGAGAGCCTTGGGATAGAAACAGCATTTTAGATGTTCCTCCAAGAGGAATGCTTATTAGAGGATCAGGTATGGCTGTTGCAGTTAATTAGAAATGCTTGTCAAAGTGACAAGAAGAGAGAAGCTGAAGCAGGTAGGAGTGATCACAGTTGGTAAGAATCTCAAAAGAAAGGTGGTGAGAGCAGCAGTGGTTGAGGGACACAAACCTACCGATGATGCTGGGATGGCTTAAGCAGCAAGACTGCCTTTGTGTTCGGGCATCTTGAAATGACAGCCTGCGCTTTACTTTAGACTTTTGATATTTTGGGTTGAATACTGTGTTTGTTAAATGTGAACAACTGGTAGTTGATGTAAAATTCAAGGCTTATTGATTGTTTATAGTAATTAATATACTATTGTTTTGGTGTTGATTCCTGGCATAGCCGTTGGCAGCTAAAGGAAGAAGGCAGGCAGAGACCAGACCACTGCTGTGGCCATGTCACACTTTAATGTCCTTTCCCCTCCCCCTCTCTGTTACAGGAACCCCTGTTTGGTTTTATATGCAAATTGCACCAATAAGAAATGAACATGAAAAGGTGGTCTTGTTCCTGTGTACTTTCAAGGATATTACGTTGTTCAAACAGCCAATAGAGGATGATTCAACAAAAGGTAATTTTCAAAATAATTACTACACCGAAAAATTAGGCTGTTGCTAAAAGATCTTATTATTTTACCTCTGCTGGTTGAACTGGAAAACAAAATTCTACTATGCGGCCCTTCTTTTGCTACATTGCTTGGAATCTGTTTTATTCTATTGTATTGTTGGAATAGAAATAGTATGGCTATTCAAAGTTGCAATATTGATTGGCTAACTTATAGTGTGAGTAAGAAATTTTATAGGGCATTGTTTTTTTTTCTGTTTTTTAGTCAAGGTCTCAGTCTGTTGCTTGGGCTGGAGTGCAGTGGTACCATCTCAGCTCACTGTAATTTCCTTCTCCCAGACTCAAGTGATCCCCCAACTTCAGCCTCCTGAGTAGCTGGGACTATAGGAGTGTGCCACCATATTTAGCTAATTTTTGTAGAGTCAGGATTTCACCATGTTGCTCAGGCTGGTTTCGAACTCCTGGGCTCAAGTTATCTGCCCACCTTGGCCTCCCAAAGTGCTGGGATTACAGGCATGAGTCATGGTGCCCGGCTGAGCATTGTTAATTTTGAATCAATATAATTGGAATTTCAATACCTCATACCATGGTGAGCTTTAGAACAAAAATGTAACAATTGGTGGGATGGTTTGGGTGAAATCTAACTAGAGCTCAGTTGGTTAGTTGATTGAAGTTTGTTGAATTAATTAAAGTTGTAATAGTTGACTTTTTCAAGTTACTTTTCGGCTTTCATTTATTCTGTTGTGTAGTCCCTAGGGTAAATGTTGCTAGATTATGGAAAGAATAATTTTGTCATCAGGAGAGTAGCTGGCAAAATGCAAACCTTCTGACTGTAGTCTTATTGGCTATCATAGTCAAAGAGACTTCTATAGAAACCACTGGTCAGTGGTGTGTGGTTTTACCTCCTTTTCTATGTAATTTATTCCGAATTTATTCTCTCCAATTATGTTTAAATTAGAAACTGGCATCATGTAAATGAAGAATTTCGAGTAACCTTAGAGGTAGTTTTTATGAAATGTTATTTTTAATAATCTCTTAGGAAACTAAAAATAAAATGTCTTCCTCTTTGCATTTGGCAAACATTGCCTTTCCTTCTTTTTTAAAAGCTGGCATAGAAGCTTTAATATTTTCAAGTGTAATCATAATTATAGAAAAAAATCACATTGTTTATTCCTTGTATAGGAACTCACATATATAATATTGTATCTGCTCAGTTTCTGCTTAACATCAAATTGCAAGAGGAGAATTTTTACAGCCTGCAAACCATTCAAAGTATGACATAGAAAAATTTATTTGTACTTTGAAGATCGAATAAAGTATTCAGTTTGGACCCATACTGCCTGTTTTATAATGCCTTTACACATAGACTCAGTGCCTGGGAAATTTAAGATAACTATAAATACTATTTTTAAATTGAACAGTCTGCTAATAGTATTTAGGTTTAATGCTCGTTTGCTTGTTTTAAAATTCATTGTGCTCCATCTAACAGCCAGAGAATACATATTCTTAACCTCACATGGAGTGGAGCATTCACTAGATAGATCACATTCTGGGTCATAAAACCTACGTTAATACATTTTAAAATATATAAATCTTAGAAAGTATATTCTCAGACCAAAGTGAAATTAAACTAGAAATGTGTAACAGAAAGATATCTGGAAGATCCCAAAATATTTGGAAATTAAACATGTTTCTAAATAACTCACAAATCAAAGAAGTAGCCTGAAGATGAGTCAGAAAAATATTTTTAACTAAAGAAAAAATGAAAATACAATTTATCAAATTTGTGAGATGCAGCAAAAGCAGTGCTTAGAGGGAAATACGTAACATTAAATGCATATATTAGACAAGAAGAAAGACATAAAATCAGTAAACTCAGATTCTTCCTTAGGAAAGTAGATAAAGAGAAAACAATTTAAACCAAAGCAAATTGAAGACAAGAAATAAACCTTACCACAGAAATCAATGAAATAGGCAAGAGGATAACATTAGAGAAAAATCATCAAAACCCAAAGCTGGTTCTCTGAACAGTTGATTCAAGTTAGTAAACTTGTAGTCAGGCTAACTGAGAAAAAGGGGTAAATACACAAACCACCAATATCAGAAATAAAGGAAGGGCCACTATTCCTCATCCCATGGACATTCAAACAGAATAAGGGGCTACTGCCAACAACTCTAAAGCTACCGTCGATAAATTGGATGAAACAGACCAGTTCCTTGAAACACACAAATAACCAAAACTTACACAAGGAGAGATAGATAAACCTCAATTGCCCTTTATCTATTTCCAAAACCAAGAGAAGACCAGGTGCAGATGGTTTCACTGGTAAGCTCTACCATACATTTAGGGAAGAAATAATAGCATTTCTTCAAGTCTTTTCCAGGTAATAGAAGCAGAGGCAGCTCTCTTAACTTGTTCTAAGGCTTGCACTACCCTTATAGCAAAACCAGAAAAAGACATTACAAGAAAGGAAAACTACAGACCAATATTTTTCATGAATATAGATTCAAAATCCTCTGCAACAATTGAATCCAACAATGTCTAAGAAGAATTACACATGACAACCAAGTGGAGTTTATCCCACATAAATATGCAAGGCTGGTTTAACATTCAAAAACCAGTTGCTGTAATCTACCATATAAACATGTAATTCATGAGATAATGAAGAAAAGTCATGATTATGCCAGTCAGCACAGAAAACGCGAGGAAATCCAGCACTTGTTCATGATACAAACTCTCGGTAAACTTTGAATAGAGGGGAACTTCTCCAATTTGATAAGGAATGTCTATAAAAAGCCTATAACATTCTATTTTTTCTTGTACCCATTAACTATCCCCCTACCCTACCCCCAGCTACCCTTCCCAGCTTCTGGTAACCATCCTTCTACTCTCTATGTCCCTGAGATCATTGTTTTGAGTTTTATATAACTAAAAGAGTTTAACTGAATTGTTTATAATACAAAGGATAAATGCTTGAGGGGATAGATACCGCATCCTCCATGATGATACTATTATGCATTGCATGCCTGTACATCTCATGTACCTATAAATAGATACGCCTACTATGCAACCACAAAAATTGAAAATAAAAAGCTCTATAGCTAACTATGATCTATGTCTTAAAGTTGTATATTTTAAAACAAAAGGTAAATGATTGGCACCTGATTTGTGACCTAACATATTTTGCAAACAGATTTTTCTTGCCTTCATACATGAATGGTAACCAGACTGAATAAAAAGCTTTAATGTCATAGTCTTTTCCTCTCAAAAAAATATGCATTTGTATTTGCACTAGATAATCATTGTTTTCTCTCATTTGCTTTAAGTGATTTCATGGCACAGCTGAAGTTGGCCAAAGAAAGTACAGTATTTTCATAGCAGTTTTGACCGGCCGAACCTAAGTGGTGGTGTCAGTAACTACATGTCTATTTATGGAAAATGAAAGTCAGCAACATTTTGCAATGAAGTTGGGGAAAGGGTGCTGATAGTGAAGGGTTGACTTTTCTTTCTGAAATTAATGCCTCTCCATTTATCTGCATCCCCACATCAGAATCACAGAATTCTTTGTAAGGCACAGGATCTTTGAAATGAATAATTCATTTGTATAAAAAATGATATTTGAATAAGCTCCAGACAACTCAGACCACTTGATTTTTTAACTATGGGTTTGATAGACATGTAAATTAGAATTTATAGGGAAAATCAGACTCCATTGTGAAAAGCATTAGAGAAAAAGATCTCTTTCTAGTGCCAGAATCTGTAGATGAGCTTATTTTAAATAGACTTTTATTTTGAGACTTCTCTGTATCTTCCGAACACATAGCAGATTACTGAAAAAGTATTGTAGAATGTAACTATGAATGGTGTGTATGAGCTACTTTATATTATTCATGTGAACTGCACATTTAACAATAAAAATTCAATGGAAATAAAATATTTATGCCATTAAGTCATCATCCTACCATATCTTGAAGCTAGCAGTGTAGGAAAGTATGTTTTAAAATATTGGCATAAGTGTCTATCTTTGAACTTATTAAATCAAGTAAAGGAACCATGGAATTTTTGGAAAATAATGGATAAGATGACATGATAACAGTAATACCAAAATAAATTGGGCGTAGATCATTGAACTTGGATATAGTAGACTTGCTGTTGATTCAGTTTTGGGCACCAGAGTTACTTAACATGAGCCTTTTCAGGACTCCTATAGGAGTATTTTATCCTCCTTGTCTTACCTTTATCTATTTTTTTTCCAACCAAAAATTGAGCACACAATATGGCACAGGCATGAGTCTAGGTCCTGGAAATAAAGTCCCTTCTCTCACATTCTAGTCGGGGAGACAAATGAGTAAATATATAGTGGAAACTTTCTTTTGATTGCTCCCATTGTCTCAGTAAAAACAGGAATCACAGTTATCAACTGGGAGTAAAGATGGCAAAGGATGTGAGAAGAGTGGAGTGCATCTGAACTGGTTATAAGAGAGTGGAATAGTGAGTGGAAAGAGAAAGACAACAGGATTTCTGAGCAGCACAAAGGTCCATTTCAGGGCAGTGGTCATAAATTTTACTGGTTATCTATGAGTATAATTTTGTGTTTTAATCCACTCATATTTAGTCAAAGAGGTGTAGATGCAGAAGTAAGTGAAGAGTTGTGTTTATCCAGTGCTGCAATTTGGTCAGGTGAATAAGAGAAGACTCAGGGACTTCAACGACCTGGGAGTTGAGGATGTTTACAAAAGTGTTTGCAAAATTTTGAAGAAATACTTCATTGATTAAAAATTCTGCCAGCAAACAAGAAATAGCATTTTAGCATTTTGCACAGACAAGTGAATCTACACACTGGCAAAATCGAAATGTAATCCCAGAGGAAGGACTTTTACCTTCTTAACATGAAAAGGGGCCATTTGATTGGAGCAAGTGTCCAAGTTCTTTGAGCATTTTCCAAAATTGACCAAAATTAATATCAATCTGCTACTTGTATCGATATTTTTGCCGAGAAACTTAGA